GCCCCCCTTAAACCCTGGACCCTAAACTGCACAACCTGAACCCCTAAACCCTAAACCCCAAACTGCAAACCCCAAACCCGAAACCCTAAACCCCAAACCCCAAACCCTAAACCCCAAACCCTAAACCCTAAACCCTAAACCCTAAACCCTATACCCTAAACCCTAAACCCTAAACCCTAAACCCTAAACCCTAGCCGCAGCTTAGGCGCGAGTGTACCGAGTCGGTGGACACTCCCAGCACCTGCCGCGCAGGGTGCGAGCACGAAGAACTTTGCTGGTCCCTTATATTTGGGCCGCTGGCACTCTTCAATCGGTTTAGGGTTTGGGGTTTAGTTGTTTTCTTTTTTGGGAGAGTCGCCTGGTCCCTTAGAATTGGGCCCCTGCCACTCTTCAAACGGTTTAGGGCTTGGGGTTTAGTTTTTTTCTTTTTTGGGAGAGGGCTTAATTTGGAGGTGGTGGTTGCACCCTAAACCCTAAACCCTAAACCCTGAACCCTAAACCCTAAACCCTGAACCCTGAACCCCAAACCCTAACATGCAACCCTGAGTCCCGGGGTTCTGGCTGCGTGAAATCCCCAAAGTACCAAAGCCAGAACCTAGGGTGCTAAGCTGAGGGTCTAGGGTTTAGGGTTTAGGGCTTCAATCCTTCGAACTCCCCCGGAAGCTTGTTTGGCACCTCTGCTCCCTTGCCGCGCAGATCCTCCACCACGCTGTTGAAGGCCATGATCCTAATGCTTGGAGGCTCATGGTTAGGGTTTGGGGTTTGGGGTTTGGGGTTTAGGGTTCAGGGTTTAGGGTTGCTGTTGAAGGCCATGATCCTAATACCTTCGTGGAGGTTCTTAGTAGAGAATGAGGTACCCTGTATCCCCCTTATTTTTTACCCTTTCAGGGATCATTTGGGGTACCTGGTTCTCCCCATTCCCTACTAAGAACCAGGGGGTTATCTTTCTTGGAGGTTCATGGTACTTATTAACCAATTGTTACTGTACTTATCACCCACTTATAGCCGACTTCTCAGCCCCTTAAGCGCCCCAATATGGTTAGAAGTCCAGATATAAGTACAGTTATAACTGGCTAAGAAGTAAAGTACTGTTGGTTAGTAGGGAATGGGGGAATGAGCCTCCCAACAGTGAGTTGGAGGGAAATCCTTAAATCCAGGGTTGAGGGTTTAGGGTTTAATAGGTTTAGGGTTTAGGGTTGAGGGTTTAGGGTTATGATTACGGTCGTTGCAAAGATCCTGTGCCGGAAAATCGCCCCTGGCTCTTCGTAGGAAAATGGGAGGGGGGGGGGGAATTAGGGCCCCATATACACCCTTTAAGGGATTATATAGGGTACCTCATTCCCTGGTTCGCTACTAAGAACCAGCCAGAATCCCTAACTGTTAACCCAGGGTTTTGGGTTTAGGTGTTAGGGTCATGATTATGGCCAGTACAGCTATAACTGGTGCTAACCTTATTTACAGTACTTGTAACCCCGCTTATAACTGAACCTCCAACTAAACCCTGAACCCCACGTCAGTTATGAGGGCTTGTGGAGTTCCACAATCCCTAAACCCTAAATCCTCAACCCTAAACCCTAAGCCCTAAACCCTAAGCCCTACACCCTAAGCCCTACACCCTAAACCCCAAGCCCTAAACCCTAAGTCCTAAGCCAAGGAGCTCTGTGGGGCACACGAAGGTGAAGTCAAAAGGGTAGAAGAACAAGATCACGTACTTGCCCTTGTAGTCCTTTTCAGGGCAGTTCAAGAGGGGTTTCGGGTGTAGGCTTTAGGGTTTACACACTTTCAGTCTTCTGAACCTCTTTTAAAACAGCCTTGAGACCATCTAAAATCTGCAGTGTTCGGGGTGCAGGTCTGTTTAGGGCTTAGGCTCCTTGCACCAAGAGTCTGGGGCTTTTGAAAGGGTGTGTTTCATAAACCCTAAACCCTAAACATTTTTTCGGGTTCGCAACGTAAGTCGGCGTCCCCTTTGTGAAGCATCAGCTTTGGAGCAGAACTTCCCTGAGAATGCAAAGCCTCAGGGGCAAAATAGCCTATCTAAGGGTGGTTATATGGGCCCTGAATACGGTCCCTTACCTCCTTAAAGGGTGCTGAAGTATGGGCCACTGGGTGCTACAGGGTATATAAGGTCCCCATTTAAGGGGCCATATGAAGGGACCATGAAACCACCCTAAGAAGCCTAAACCCCCAAGCCCTTAAACCAAAAAATGTGTGTGAGTGGGAATACATATAGGTATATATATATATATACACATACTTACATAAATCAATAAATATTTATATACACACACCTAACCTTACATATATATATGTATATATATATATATATATATTTTTTCTTATATTTTCTTATTTATTTCTGTATGGGAAGCCTTATTTTGTTTCAAGGCAAAGGTATCTTGGGCTTAAGGTCGGTGGGGGGGAGGGCTCGAGCCTCGAGCCCTAAAGTCAGGGCCAGGTCCTTGCGGCGTCGGGTTTAGGGTTTCGGGTTTAGGGATTCAATCAGGGAAACCTCTTTTCGGATCTGTCGACTCTATGGCCCTACATCCTCAGGATCGAACCCCTTTGTAAGCCGACAGCGCCAAACAAATCCTCTACAGCCGCCCCAAACAAGGGTTTAGGGCCTAGGGTTTAGGGTTTAGGTACTTTATCAGGGGGCCTTGAAGCAAAAGACGGGAAAAGGGCATCACTGGGCTACCAAGTATACAATTCTATGACTGTAAACCGTAAACCGCAAACCCTAGACTCTAAACCCTAAACCCTAGACCCTAAACCCTAAACCCTAAACCCTCTTCAGCCACCCGAGACCTTCAGGGAGATCGTCTTGGTCTGGTCGTCCGGCATCGCTGCGGGGAGTTCGAAGCCAGGAGCATCCTTCTGAATCAGGAGCTTCGCCTGGGCACCAATGGCTAAGGGTTTAGGGTTTAGGGTTTAGGGTTTAGGGTTTAGGGTTTAGGGTTTAGGGTTTAGGGTTTAGGGTTTAGGGTTTAGGGTTTAGGGTTTAGGGTTTAGGGTTTAGGGTTTAGGGTTTAGGGTTTAGGGTTTAGGGTTAGGTTTAGGGTTTAGGGTTTAGGGTTTAGGGTTTAGGGTTTAGGGTTTAGGGTTTAGGGTTTAGGGTTTAGGGTTTAGGGTTTAGGGTTTAGGGTTTAGGGTTTAGGGTTTAGGGTTTAGGGTTTAGGGTTTAGGGTTTAGGGTCTAGGGTCTAGGGTCAAGTGTGGGCCCTAGCGTTTAACAAGCCCCCAAAAGCAACAAGCCCTCCTCAGTGGCGCGGCCTGCGCTGCCCAGCAGGCCGCCGCGAACGCCAGCAGTCGCCCTGCCATTGCTGGTGCCTCGCCAGCCGTTCGGGGTTTGGGGCTTGGGGTTTTCCGGTTTTGAGAGGACTTAGGCTTTGGGGTTTGGGGTTGAGGATAAGACCGGCTGTAACACGTTTAGTGGCTAAGAGTTTGGCGTCATGCGATGTTGAGTGGGATTGACACTCAAATCACGCCGGCATGCCATTGGACTCCTGTATATCAGAGTCGAGGCGGCTGAATGAAGGTACCTCTGTGCCCCAGGACAGTTGAACCCTGAACCGTGGCCAGACATAATCCGGAGACCTTGTTTGCTGGACAGTGAAACCATAAAAGGGGAAAAGCGTCACACGAGCTTCCTACTGCAAGCTCTGTTCCACGCCACAGCTGAGAAACTTAAAAAAGAAGGCCGGTACGCTCCTCCAGTGGGCTGCCCGGTCACCTAGTAATGAAAACTTGCATTTGTTGTCTATGGTTGTTGTCGAATGAGGCTCATAAGGGAACCTAACCCCCCAAAAAGGGAGTGAGGGCAGCATCCAGCATCCAAAGATGGCTGCACCCCAAAACCCTCAAACAACCCTCAACACGCCCCGAATGCCAACCTGCAGCCCTAACCCTGAACAAATCAGGAGTTCTCAGTCCTTTGAGTCTACCTCTTCGAGTAGACCCTGGAGAAAAAATCCTATACTTTGTAGGGATAAGTAGCTATAATCGGAACCCTGAGCCAACAAAAAACAAAGTACTAAAGTATAGTACTCCGAAACCCAGGAGTATAGGGTCATGGAGGTGGCCCCAAAAGGTTCCAGTTGTAGGGTATGGGGTGCCAGTTCATGTTGCTTGGAGAAAGAAGATTGGTAGGGCATTCTTACCAGTATCCCCAGCAGGACGGACACACTCCCACCAAATTTCGTAAAAGGAACAGGACCTCACATGCGGGGTGGTTCGGGGGCCCTATAGAAAATCCAACTGCTATGGGTCAACAGAGCTGAATCCGCATTAAAACCCATAGAACTTTAAACTCAAATCAATCCCCTCAACCCTAAACCCTAAACCCTAAACCCTAAACCCTAAACCCTAAACCCTATAAACGATTGAGGCCTGGGGGTAGCGATGCTCCAGCACTCCCACTCTGAGCCAAAACTGCCAGGGCCCTTACTTTGGGGTGTTGGGGGCGCAGGCTCGATGTCTTTAAACCCTATAAACCCGAAAACCCTGGTTCTTAAGCCTGAAGCTGGATCCGATAAAACCTACGAACGCGGAATCTGAAACCCCGAAACCCTCAACAGGCACTCAGCCCGAACCCCAAAACCATTAAGCAGCCTCTGAGAACCCTATCCTAAACGCTCAACCGGAACCCAAGGCTCGCCATACACTCCCAAAGACCTCCTAAGGGTCCATGTACCTGATTATGATATACTTGGGCCCCAATTTTCCTTTGCAGGACGTACTTTCAGGTCAAGTATTCCCAAAACCCTAAACCCTAAACTCTTAGGGACCCTGCAAGTGGTTCATGGCACTGGGGTGTCTTAGAGGTTCCGTGGCATGTGTAAAGGGTTTAGGGTTTAGGGAGCCCTAATAAGCCTAAGCCCCTAAACCTCTAAACCCTACACCCCGATCCCCAAAGACCCTTTGAGTCCCACAGCCCTAAACCCGAACCCTAAATCCCAAACGCTAAACCCCAAACCCTAAACCCCAAAGAGGTTCGGGGCTGGCCAGCGCGTGGACGTCCGCGCGGTGTTCGATCAGGAGCCTGGCCCCGTCCTGGGCCCCGCAATTCTCTGCCACATGGCTTTGAACTAGTTTAGGGTTTTTAGGGTTTAGGGTTTAGGGTTTAGGGTCTACGAAGATATTACGAAACAGGGGCGGGGAGGTTCGCCGAAGTGCTTGATTGAGGGTTGAGGGTTTAGGGCCGCAGGCAGGGTTTCTCGAGATTGGGGGGGGGGGGGCCTTTTTCCCCATTTGCGGGTGTAACTTGTATATTTGGAGAGAGTGAGAAACTTAAGGAAAGAGTGAGAGAGAGAGTGAGAGAGTGAGTGACAGAGAGTGAGAGAGAGTGAGCGAGAGGGAGCGAGAGAGAGAAAGAGAGGGAGAGGGAGAGAGGGAGAGAGAGAGTGAGAGAGCGTGAGTGAGAGGGAGCGAGCGAGAGAGAGAGAGAGAGAGAGAGAGAAAGAGAGGGAGGGGTAGTTGAGAGGTACTTAGCACAGCTACATACAGTAGGGAGTATCAGGGTACAATTGGCAAGTACTTTGCTCCTTCATTCTAACCCTTCAGCTTTACATCCGAACCCCCTGGCCAAGATAGTTCCGAAGCCCTAAATCCTGAACCCTAAACCCTTTCACCTTACATTCTGAACCCTAAAACCTTTCAAGCCTAAACCGCAATCGCCAAAGCCCTAAGCCCTAAGCCCTAAGCCCTAAACCCTAAACCCTAAACCCTAAACCCTAAACCCTAAACCCTAAACCCTAAACCCTTAAGCCTAAACCTTTAGACCCAGAGCCTCCCATTGGGTCGAAGACCGAGGGCCGTTCGACAACTAACTTGCTTGGGGTCTAGGGGCTTTGGGGGTTGGGGCTTCGGGCTCCGTTCTTGAAGTTTAGGGTTTAGGGTTTAGGGTTTAGGGTTTAGGGTTTAGGGTTTAGGGTTTAGGGTTTCGAAGTTTCGAGTTCTTGAACTTTCGATCCTACAAGAAGGCACCTTCTTACTCTAGTGTTTCGGGTTAAGGCTTTAGGGCTTAGGGTGCTCTACTAACTGCAGTTCAAGCATTTATACTTTAAATTGCAAAGCTTGTAACCTGATTCAGGGCCCCGAAAACTTGGGGGCCCCTCCGAAACCATAAGCCAGACCCCAAACCCTCAACCCTAAACCCGGAACCTACGGGTTTGAGGCTTAAAGGCCCTGAGGGCTCCGGATCCTAAACCCCAAACCCCAAACCCCAAACCCCAAACCCCAAACCCTAAACCCTAAACCCTAAACCCTAAACCCTACTTACTGGGCTTTGGAGTGGAGGGAAGCTCTAAAACCCGACAGGGCTACGAGGTTTCCACGGTTTAGGGTGTAGGAATGGTGGTTTACGGGGCATACAGAAGGTATAGGGTTTAGGGTTTGAGGTGTAGGGTTTAGGGGTTCAAGGGGTTTGAGGTTTAAGGTTTGTGCAAAGGAAGACCCTTTCACGCACCAAGCCCTGCAGCAACTGGACTGCGCAGCCAGCCTCGTTGTTGTTCCGGCACGCGTGCATCAACGCCTCGTCGAAGGCTTAGGGTTTCGGGTTGAGGACTAGGTATTACTTACAGACTTTAGACGCCAATGTAGATATTAGCTTGGAGCCCTAGGTTGACAACATGTGAGGCAAGCCTGCCCCCTCCCGCCCACCTCATGGCCCTCTTTCCTCGTCCTTTGCCTGCTCCTCTAAAAGGTAGGGCTAAGGGTTTCAAGTTTGGGTTTCGGGTTTGAGGTTCTGGGATTGCGCAGGGATTCCAATGAAGGAACACGATTGGACATTTGTTTGTGTACCAACAATAGGGCGCATAATTAGATAACACCCCCCCACACACAGACTGATACATGTATATTTACATATATATATATATATCATAGCCGATTGGCACCTGCAAAATGAAATTGCCGAAAACCAGAATTCTCAAACCTACCCTTAAAAACATCCCTGAAGCCCTAAACCCTCTAAGCCCTAAACGCCCGAATCCACACAAGTCCGAAGCTGCATATATAAACCCCCAAGCCCTATAAACCCCAAACGCCCCACATGCCCAAAATGCCCTCAACGCCCACCCTAAACCCTCAACCCTCAACCCTCAACCCTCAACCCAAACCCTAAACCCTAAACCCTGAACCCTAAACCCTAAACCCTAAACCCTAAACCCTAAACCCTAAACCCTAAACCCTAAACCCTAAACCCTAAACCCCAACACATAAGTCCTCAAAGACCTAAGAACTTCGAGGCCGACGCCGTCCAGCCAGCATCGTCCGTGGCATCCAACTCCGCCTCGTTTTCCAGCAAGACCTGGCTTTAGGGTCTTTGGACTGTGGGGTTTAGGGGTTTAGGGTTTGGGGTTTAGGGCTTGGGGGTTGGGGTTTAGGGCTTTGGGGTCTTTGGTTTTGAGGTTTAGGGTTTCGGGTTTGGGCTTTAGGGTCTTTGGGCTTTGGGGTTTAGTGCTTCGGAGTGGAATCAGAGGCGTTCGGGCTTTGGGGGTTGAGTCTTAGGGTTTGGAGTCAGGGCTTAGGGCTATTTTGGGTTATAGGGTGGGGTTCGGGGCTTTTAATGCTTTAGGAATCAGAGGCGTTCGGGCTTTGGGGTTGAGTCTTAGGGTTTGGAGCTAGGGCTCAGGGCTATTTTGTGTTATAGGGTTTTAAGGTGTGGGAGTCGGGGCTTTTAATGTTTTAGGGTTTAGACGTGTGGGATATCTCTTTCTCTTTCTCTGACTCTCTATCTCTGTGTTTTTATCAGCCCCGTCCTCGAAGCGTCTCTGCATCTCGGCGTCCCTGCGTCTCTGTCTCTCACTGTCTCTCTCTCCTCTCTCTCTCTCTCTCTCTCTCTCTCTCTCTCTCTCTCTCTCTCTCTCTCTCTCTCTCTCTCTCTCTCTCTCTCTCTCTCTCTCTCTCTCTCTCTCTCTCTCTCTCTCTCTCTCTCTCTTCTCTCTCCCTCTCTGCCTCTCGCTCTCGCTCTCTCTCTCTCTCTCTCTCTCTCTCTCTGTCTTTTCTGTCTCTCTCTCTCTCTCTCTCTCTCTCTCTCTCTCTCTCTCTCTCTCTTCTTCTTCTTCTTCCACGCCGTAAGACTCCCCCGAAGGAGAGCCGCCCCGAGGGGCACGGTCGACAGATCTGTGTGTGAGACGTATTCCCCACCCCCGCTGTGTGTGAGGTGGGGGTTGGTCTCTCTCTCTCTCTCTCTCTCTCTCTCTCTCTCTCTCTCTCTCTCTCTCTCTCTCTCTCTCTCTCTCTCTCTCTCTCTCTCTCTCTCTGTCTCTCTCTGTCCTCTCACGCCTGTCTTTTCACCCCGTCAACCCGCGGGGAGAGGCCTTCATCCCGGCCCCGGGGACCTCCCCAAGGTCGATTTTCGAGGGAATTTTTGCTAAGGTCGAGCCGAAGTGACGGGGTCGGATTTCAATCACGCCCTTGAAAAAAAAACACGACCCACGCGGTCCTGTTGCAGACTGACATGTCATGAGCAAATGTCGAAGCAGGCGCGCGGTCCTTGTTTTAGCACAGGCGAACCTGCCACAGATAAATGTGCTTCCAAGCCGCATTGGGCTGGAGCTTTTGGAGAAATACTTGCAGGGGACCTGCTTCATCCAAGCAGGTCTTACAATCGTGGGAGAAGTTCCCAACGACTGCCCGCTGGTCCGCTTCTCGGCCATGAAGACGGACCATTATATCTGCGCCCATCGGCGTACCAGGGCGGATCACTAGGATCGGGTGCTCCGAAACCCTGAATCCTAGGCGGACCCTCAAATGCTCGTAGACAACCGGGTCCAAGCCGAAGGTCCTGAGAAATTCAATGGCTTCAATGAACCCAAAGTATCACGACTGAATAGCTGAGTAGCTGACTCAAAACTGTAGGCCGGCACGACGCTGTTGGCCGCCCGGTTACTGCTCACGCGGGCCTTCTTGAGCTGATTCTTGGAAACCTACAAGAGAGTGCAGGTTCCGGATAAACTGTGAAGCAAGACTGCTGATGCGGCCTTCGGGGACATCTTGCAAGAAAGTACCTCGAAGGCCACCCCGTGGCCTCGGTTCACAGGGGCTTGAAAACCCAGGACCAAGGGCCAGCGTTTCTCGAAGCTGCTGTGGCCGATCAAAAGAAGAAGCTTGAGCCAACAGTCTACCGAAAACAACCATGCGATCGAGGTGCAGGGGTCTTCTAGGAATCTCTCTAGCGCCTTCATAGCGGTTGCCAGCCGCCGAGTGAGGAGGGTCGATAACATCTGGTCGCCCCCCTAAACCCGACCTTCGACCGAGCATGCCGGCAGGTGGCCGCGCGCGCGCAACCAAGCACGTGCTCCACTTTCAAAATCAATGACTTCGGCCTTGGAGGGGTTGCCAACCAAGCAAAACGCAGGTGTTTTTTGTCAAAACCGAAAACCGAACAACCCAAAAAGCGAGTGACGAGGCAAAGATTCTGCACCGCGTCCAATTACGGGGCCGCCCCCCCCCCCAAAAAAAAAAAAAGGATCAGTTTTCAAGAATTTAGCGTCACTCGGACGGCTCCAAAGACAGAATTGCAGGCGTTTTTCATCGCCCGCGAACAACACCAACGCCAAAAGATCCCGTCGGTCATCGGGAATCCAAGCTAACAGAGGGCGGCGGGAGCGTGACGCAGGACGCGCTCCAACGCTCCAATTCGGACTCGACATCCGGGTCCGGATATCTGATCCATATCTTCTCCTCGCCTCGCACGTCGAAGACAACCAGATCACCCGTACTTTTTTCCGTAATGGCTTCTGGCCAAGTGGAGCTGCATCAGATGCCGGGAAAGCTAAGAGGCCCCAAACCCTAGACTCTTCCGCCGTGTCCGACCACCAGATCACCTAAACTCTCAAACGCGACTCGTGTTCAGAGGACGTTGGCACCGTTGGCACCTTTGGAACTTGAGAATTCCCAAACACACGCAGACAATAAGATCCAACACCAAACAAGTTCCCCAAAAAGGTGCCACCAATCTCTAAGGACGCCAAAAAATCGCTCCCAAGGATCCAAAGGCTCAAAAAAGGATTTGACATGTCTCAACTGGTTCCAACAAGCGAAGCTTCTAAAAACAAAAAGAAAACACAACTCCAAAAAAAATCCCCAAGAAGGTTCCGACGGGTTCGAAAAGAGGCACAATCCCCTAAACCCTAAACCCTAAACCCTAAACCCTAAACCCTAAACCCTAAACCCTAAAAACCCTCAACCCTAAAGTGGAGAAAGCTCCACCCAGTGCTGCAGGGCTCCGCGAGAAAACTTCCCACGAAGGCTCCCAAATATTTCGCGAAGAGCTTCCCCAAGGCTTCAACAAAGCTCTCCAACATAAGCCACAGAAACACGCTCTCCCAAAGGTCCTAAACCCTAAAGGGGGGGCAGGGGGGGGGGGCGGGGGGGCGGGGGGCCGGGGGGCGGGTATAGGGTTTAGGGTTGAGCAGGGTTTGGGGTTTAGGGTCAGGGTTTCAGGGTTTTCGTTGCTTGGCGCTTGCGCCCGACAGATCTTGGTTGTCTTGAAACACCGATGCGCGGGTCCACTGTAGGGATGGGTTTAGGGCTTAAAGGGATTCGGGTCTAGGGTTTAGGGTTTAGGGCTAGGGCTTAGGATTTCGGGTTTCGAGTGCAGGGTTTTGGGCTTAGAGTTATTGAGGGATTTCGGGCCTTGAGTAGGCTTTGCGAACTAAGACCAAAAAGGCCGAGCTTAAACCCCAAGCGCCCTATCAGCCAACGAAAAAAACAAGCCAAGGGATTCAAACTCGAAACCCGCCCTAAACCCTAAACAATAAACCCTACACCCTTAACCCCAAACCCCAAGCCCCAAACCTAAACAATCCTGCCGGTAGTCGTGAGCCCTCTCCAACAACTTCAGGAAGGGACAGACGGCTAAGGGCATTCAGGGCTCGGTAGCGGTTTAGGGTTTAGGGTTTAGGGTTCAGGTTTTAGGGTTTAGGGTTTAGGGGTACAAGGATTGTGTTCCACGCGAAAGGGGCCTAGACTACACACTCTAAACTCTCAACGCTACGGGTTGTATGCGCATGGCTTAGGTAGGGTTTAGAGCTGTCACTAAAAAGTAAAAAACATGTTTGTGAGGGCTCATAGAGATTAATCTGCAGCTTGCAGGACAGGGCTTGTCTGTGCTTAAACATGGACAGTTTGAAAAGGGCCTAAGGGGTTTAGGTTTAGGGTTTAGGGTTTAGGGTTTAGGGTTTAGGGTTTAGGGTTTAGGGTTTAGGGTTTAGGGTTCGGGTTTACGAGGAAAGGCCCCTTGGAAGAGTGCGCCTTCAACGTCTCAACTGCTCGATCGGACTGACCTCTGATCTGAGGGTTTAGGGTTTAGGGTTTAGGGTTTAGGGTTTAGGGTTTAGGGTTTAGGGTTTAGGGTTTAGGGTTTAGGGTTTAGGGTTTAGGGTTTAGGGTTTAGGGTTTAGGGTTTAGGTCCCTTACCTTCTTGAAGGGGTTGTAATTCCGGGCCATTGGGTTCTAGAGGGTATAGAAGGGGAACAAAAGGGTTCCCCTTTCAAGCGCCCAAATTAGGGGGCCACGTAACTATCCTGAGATCTGATTGCAGCTTTCGGAAGTATGGACCCTGGGCGATTCGTCTGCTCGAACGCCTAGCTTTCGGTTCAAAGACCGTGGGGCTTGTGAAAGCTCAGGCGTGTAGGCTTTACCCCAGCTCTACTCGACCGGACAAGGTTTTTCATCATGTCACGGTTCTACAGGTTTGCTTACACCCCGTATGAGCCCGGCACCCCCCCCCCCCCCCCTAAAGCCTGAACCCCAAACCCTAAAACCAAACTTAGTAACCCCGTAAGCATGCTAGGGTTGGTTACTTTCTAAGGGCAGGGCAAAAGGGAACCGGTGGGCTACCAACCCACCCTAAACCCCAAACCCTAAAACCCTATGTCCTACACCCCAAAAGCCTAAACCCCAAACCCCTACCACTCTAATTTCCTAAACCCCAAACCCGAACCAGAACACCCTAAACCCTAAACCCTAAAACCCAAAGTCTGAACTCCTCTTTGAGCCCAGATGCTGTGCGAGGCCGCCAGCATCAGCGGCGTCTGGCCTGGAGTCTTGGTTTCTAGGGCTTAGGGGTTTGAGGGTTTGAGGGCTTGAGGGTTTGAGGTTTGAGGGCTTGAGGGTTTGAGGGTTTGAGGGTTTGAGATGAAGTTTAACCGGGTTTGGGGGGGGGTGGGGGGGGGGGGGGGGGGGCACTTCAGGGTTTTGGGCTCAAACGGCAAGCCTTTCTTGAAGGCTTAGGAAGTTTCCTCGCATCCGGCACCCTAAACCCTAAACCCTACGTGCCCAAACCTTCAAGTCTGGTTTTTAGCTCTGGGGGCTTACACCATGTTCAGGGCCTCGGGACCCCTATGAACCCTAAACCCTAAACCCTAAACCCTAAACCCTAAACCCTAAACCCTAAACCCTAAACCCTAAACCCTAAACCCTAAACCCTAAACCCTAAACCCTAAACCCTAAGCCACCATGCTGAGGCAGGGGCATCGGAGGCTCTCGCAGTCGACCTCGGCTTGAGGCTTCAGGGCTCACACTTGAAGGCGCATGGGCACCTAGGAATGTTTAGGGTTTAGGGTTTAGGGTTTAGGGTTTAGGGTTTAGGGTTTAGGGTTTAGGGTTTAGGGTTTAGGGTTTAGGGTTTAGGGTTTAGGGTTTAGGGTTTAGGGTTTATAAGGGCCTAGGGCGACCGAAGAGTAACCTAGGAATAGAAAGGGTGCCCTTTTTGGCATAAAAGGGATTAGAAAGGAACCTAAACCCTAAAAAGAGGGAATAAGGGCCTACTCCGGGCCCTAGTGGAGGAACATGGGTACTTATCGCGATAGAAGCATCCTGAATTGGATCGAGCCCGAAACTGAAGCATGAGTATGACAACTTATGTTGCAAGCCTATTTTGCAAAACGGACAGTTGCGGGTGCTCTCAATGAGGCTCTGTATAGGTACAACTGGAACTGTCCTGTAGCCGACTAACACACCCCTGAACCTCCAGACAAAAAAACCCTAAACCCTAAATCCGAAACCCGAAACCCCTAAACCCTAAACCCCTAAACCCTACAGCAAAAAAACAAAAACACCCTCAGCAAGGGCCGGAGTGTTCCTATAAGCCCTAAGCCCTAGGAACTATAATTCAGCGACACCCAAAACGCCAAATCCCAAAGCCCGCTATGAGCCCTCAAGCCTAAACCGGGGTTTAGAGTTTAGGGTTTAAGGGTTGGGGAACCCGAAACCCCCAAACCCCACCCCCGCAAACCCTAAACCCCAATACACGCCGGCAGCGTATTCAAAACCTCTCAGGATGCGAGATCCGAAAAGTCGAGGCCCCAGGGTCCCTTTAATACCTCAACCAGGAGTCTCTCTGACTTATGCTTCGGGTTTAGGGCTTGGGGTTTGGGGTTTAGGGTTTAGTTACAGCTTAGGGCTTAGGGCTGTGCATGGCTTCCTAAACCGTGCGTTCGCGCGGCCTCCGCCTCGGCTTCGAGTAGCTCCTGACCATGGTCCACGTTCGGGGGTCAGGGTTTAGGGTTTAGGGCTAGGGTTTAGGGGGTTCAGGGTTCAGTGTTTATAGGGCTTTTTTGGTTAAAGTAGGGCTTAGGGGTTCAGGGTTCAGAGTTTATAGGGTTTCTGTTGAATTAGAGTCTTGGGGTCAGGGTTCAGGGTTTGTAGGGTTCAGGGCGGCGAGAAGTACGAGACAATCTTGGATTTAGGGTTGGAGGGGGGGTGCCATTCCGTGCAGACAACCCGAAACGCACTGGAAGGCCTCGAACATCCTAGCCAGGAACGAGGGAATCAGGTACCCTGTAGGCCCTATATCCCCCTATGCATACCCTTTAAAAGGATCATCTAAGGTACCTAATTCCCTAATTCCCTACCAAGAACCGGTAAGCTGCAGGGCCTATAGAAGGCCAAGCCGTCGTGAGGGTTTAGGATCCCAAGGTTGAGGGGTGTACTTGGTAAAGGGAGTGGTTCATGAAGGGCCCATCGAAGATGTGGAACCTGATCGACCCTGTGCACCAAGCCTTAAAACCCTAAACCCTAAACCCTAAACCCTAAACCCTAAACCCTAAACCCTAAACCCTAAACCCTAAACCCTAAACCCTAAACCCTAAACCCTAAACCCAAACCTTAAATCTTGATAAGCAGAGACTCCTGCACCAGCTTCACGTTGACTGCCCGGGCTGCCTGTCAGGCCATGCTCAAAACGCCAATGGTCTCACGACTTGGGTTTCGGTATGCATGTACATATGCAAAAAACACGTTACACGTGTGCATGTGCATGCAGATGAAGATGCACATGCACATGCCCATGCACATACACATAGACACACTCTTACACATACACATACATACATACATGTATAAAATTCATGTTATGACATAAAATAATCAAATGTAATATCATATGCTCGAATATGATATAATAAGAACAATAAAGTATAACAGAACAACAAATATGAGACAATGTCATATAATGTTCTTTAATCTAACATAATATATGTCATACTATAATCGAATTTCATATCAATAAATGTAACACAATACAATATAATAGGATATAATGTAATCGAATACCAGATAATATACTGACATGTTATATGATATAATTCAAGATAAAATAAGACAACATAATATAATCTAACAAAAACACAATATAATATCATAGAACATGATATGATACAAGTAATCAACTCTCATATAATATAATATAATATAATATAATGTAATGTAACATAATATAATATCACATCATACGGTATGATGTGATATATATATATATATATATATGTTCTTGCACAAAACCTATTGAAAATATCTGTATCTATATATATATATACACACATCTATGCGTATATTCGTATATATGTAGATTTGTAAATATGTTGTATCAGCGTGTTTGTGTATATTCACACAATACAAAAAGCAGGTACTTGCACTTGCACATATTTCGAGACAACAAGTTGCGAACCTCCACTCCTCAATGCTGTCCCCAGAGATCCGGCGAGTTCCTACACAATCCATTATGATGTTGAGCCATACCATAAACCCTAAACCCTAAACACTACACCCCAAACCCTACACCCTAAACCCTCAACCCTAAACCCGAAACCTGCCTGTAGAAGGCGCCTGGGCAAGGGATCGCCGTCCTGAGGTCTACTCCACTGTCGACAGAGCCTCTTTTGAACAATTGCCCAAAGAGTCCATGTACCCATGTAGAATCTATGTGGGCCTTCAAGGGGCTCCTTGATTTAAAGAGGTTCAGGTTTAAGGGATGTTTAGGGGGTTTGGGGTTTAAGGTTCAGGGTTCCATCAGAGTCCATGTGCCCGTATAGTATCTATGTGAGGCTTAACGGGTTCCCATCCTACAGGCAGCTTGAGGGCCCAGGTACATGCCAAGGGGTATATGGACGCTCAGGATTGTATCCGTCTGGGATGTTGCTCCAGGAACACGGGCCACAGCACTTGTCTCGGGGCACTTTGGATTGGAAGTTATCAGCAACCATAAGGTTGACGGCTTAGGTCTTAGCGTTTGCGGGTTTAGGGTTTATAGGGTTCAAGACCACCTCAGTACCCCTAAAACGCCCTCGCGAGCATTTGGCCTGAACATATCAACCTTACTCAGGCAGCACAACGAGCAATGCTGGCACCTCTGGATCCTCTGGTGTCATACGGTGACTTTAATTTAAAAATATGAATATATGTATTCTATATATATATACAGAGATAAGCAAATATGAGTATAACAAACAAATACAAATAGAATGTAAATATAAGTATAAATACAAGTATCAATATAAATATAAACATACATATAAATATAAATATAAATATAAATATAAATATAAATATAAATATAAATATAAATATAAATATAAATATAAATATAAATATAAATCAATGAATAAATTAATAAATGTATATAAATATAAATATAAACATACATATAAATATAAATATAAATATAAATCAATGAATAAATTAATAAATGTAAATAAATATAAATATAAACAGATATAGATATATATATATTGATAATTATATGTATATACACATACATACATAGATATCTGCGAGGGTTGCTCTAAACTTAGCTGGTTAGAATAGAGACACAACAACCCCCGCCCCAACACAAGCCGGGAGCCATTGGGTACTCAACTCAGCTCCCCACGTCGGCTGAAGTCGGAGAACCTAGGGTCCCACAAGCTCTCAGCAGGGAGGGCGAGTGGAGAATTTGGTTTGTGCAGGGGGGTTCTTGAAAGGGTCATCTAGGCCAGGCGGCATAGATCACATAGCTCATCTAGGTTGTAGGATAATCACGCATGTTCTACAGGTTATACAGATTATAGGTTGTATTCTGTAGGCCATACAGGCTTGTAAAGGTTCTCGAGGGTGCACGGAAGCTACGCCAAGGCCTGTGCAAATCTAGCGCGCAAGGTAGTGCCTACGTAGGCCTAGGGTTTAGGGTTGAGGTTTAGGGGTTACCTACCTTACGAAACCAAAGCCCCGTTTAGTAGGTCCCCCTGAACCCTACAAGGCGCACTATCATGGCGGCCTCGAAAAAGGTAGGCTTGTTCTTCTTGACGCAGAGCACACCACACCCCCGCCCCCCCCTCCCAATGGTGCTGTGCCCATAGGTTTTTGGCACAGGCCTTTTTGTACTCGACACATACAAGGAGGTACAGCCCGGAGAGCGGAACTACAGTTAGCTGCCTTCTGAATGGCTGGGGCATGGTGGTTATAGGGTTTAGGAATTGGAGTTCGCGGTTCAGGGTGCAGGGCTTAGGGGTTTAAAATTTTTCGCGTGTAGGGTTTATAGGGTTCAGGAGCTAACTTGGTGATGAAATTGAGGGTTCAGGGCTTAGGCTTCTCTGTGAAGCATCGATCTGAAGAGGAGACCTTAAACTCCCAAACCCTTAAAACTCGGAACCCTACATCCGAAATCCCAGATCCTCTACGTTGCGGACTTCACATGGTTTAGGATTTAGAGTCTAGGGTTTAGGGTCAAGAGGGCTTAGAAACCCTCAGCCCTGAACCCTAACCCGAAATCCTAAACGGTCGTAAACCCCAAACCCTAAACCCTAAACCCTAAACCCCCAAGGCGAGCCGCGGTTCGACATCTCAGAGAAGGTCGGGCTGACGGGGCTGCCGGGCGACGGAGGACTGGTCGCGCCCCTGGGCACTCAAAGGCTTAGGGTTTAGGGTTTAGGGTTTAGTGTTTCGGCTTGAAGGGTTAATGGGTTTTTTGAGGGTTTAGGGTTTAGGCTTAGTGGGGTGTAGGTTTTAGGGTTGATGGCGTTTTCGGGTGTAGGGTCAGCAAGGCTTTGGGACGTTTGGTTTTGGTGGTTAGGGTTTTAGGGTTTGGGTTATGGTGTTTAGGTGATTCAGTGATAAGGGGTTAGGGTCCATAGAGTCTGGGGAGCAAAGCTAGAGCGTGTTGGCTTTCAGGGTCCATGATGTCTCTTGTCCCCGGCAGCCTCTCTCTCAAATTCTGTCCTGCCCAGAAAGCATCTATCTCCACACGCAATCTGGCAGCATTCTTGCCTTGCAATGCGACCACAAGCAGGTCCAATCCACTTACTCTGACTGTCTCGCTTCTGGCTTCCCTCAGTTCTCCACAAGAAAACCATCTGACCACCGAAGGGGTGGGGTGCCATCATGCGCAGTTGTCATGAGCATCTGCTGGCTACCTTATAGTTTTGTAGGGGTCTAGGCGTCCGAGGGTTCTTGTTAGGGGAGCTTTTAGATGGGCATCATCCACTTTAGCCCTGTTGGAGGTCTTAGAACTTTTACGGCATTTTTGGGTTAAAGTGTTTAACCCTAAACCCCAAAGGCCGGATGGGGTTTCGTGAAAGCTAGGTGGGCAATTTAAAGCATCTGAACATATTCCTTAAAAGAAGACTCCTCTTAAGGGAGCATATGCTGGAGTGACCTAGGGCCTTTCGGGTCGTAGGGCCAGGTGGTGAAGGGCTTTGGAAGCTTTGGGGGGGTTGCCCTAACACCTCAACTCTGAGGCCTGAACCCTAAATATTTAGGGTTTAGGGTTTAGGGTTTAGGGATTCAGGGAGTAAGTTTTCAGGCTTTCAGCTGAGCGTTCGAGCTTTGCATCTCAGGCGGGAGAAATCTCTTCGTCCGAAGATTCCAGCTAAGGGTCCAGGGTTTCAACTTTAGGGTTTCGGGTACCTCCTTCCTGGAACTAGCCAGGAAGCCATGTAGAAGCCTGACGAGTCAGAACGGGGTTTGGGTAGTTTGTGATTTGGCTAGAGACCAAGGATGACAAGTCATGAAGGTCCTGAGTAAGAGGGTCCTGCATAGAATTTGGTGCTCAGTATGCCCCCGACATTCTAAGAAGCCCTGGACACCCCAAACCGCTGTTAAGCCCTATGAACCCTAAAGCCCTATGCAAACCCCTGAAGTCTCAAGCCTTTAGGTCCAGCCCCTTATGGGGCATTTCTGAGTTCAAGGTTTAGGGTTCAGGGGTTTATGGGTTTTGTGATCCTTAGCTGTAAACCCTAAACCCCACATGTGAAGCCTCGCCTGGCCGACAGCTTGGAGAGAAACTCCTGGTTTGCAGCAGGGCTTGGGCTCTGGGCTGTCGGGTTTAGGGTCTGGGGTAGAGTTTGGAGTTTAGGGTTTAGGGTTTAGGGTTTAAGGTTTAGGGTTTAGGGTTTAGGGTTTAAGGTTTAGGGTTCAGGGTTGAGGGGTGAGCCCCCGGCGTGTCTGTGAACCCGACTGCTGCACGGTGTTAAGCGTGACCCCCGTAAGCCCTCAACGAAATTCGTGTCCCTTTCGGGCCCTGTAGTTTTAGGGTTTGGGGTTTAGGGTTTAGGGTTTAGCCCTAAACCCCTAAAAGAAACAAGGAAGTCCAAACCGCAATTTTTGTTCAACCCCACACCTGCCGCTGCCGGGGGTTCTTATCTTGGTGGCCCAGTAACCATACTATCATAAGGGCACCCATTTTGGGGTTGGTTACTTTATAAGGGGAACCTTGAGCCAAAATAATGGAAAGGGCACCACTGGGCTACCAAGCTATAATGCAAGCCCTAAACCTTAAACCCTAAACCCTAAACCCTAAGCCCCCTTTAACCCCTGACCGGCTCAGCGGCTGCGATTTCCAGAGGGAGGGGGGGTGGCCCGGAAGCATCCTCATTAGATACCCGAAGCACCATAAACCCTAAACACAAACCCCTAAATCCTATAAACCCTAAGCCATCATGAGTCCCTGGTTTCAACCTAAAAACCCTAAGTATACGATGACTCTCTACGGCCGAATATCAGCCTTGAAGCCCCAAATCCTTTACTGTCAAACCCTGACAACTATCAAACCCGAACCCTTTAGGAAACCCTAAGACCCGCCAAGCCCCTTTATTTCAAGCCTTCATAAACACATGATGCCCCTAAACCCTAGACCCCAAACCCGAAACCCTAAACCCCAAACCCTAACCTCAAACACCAAAGCCCTGAAAAAGCTTCGCCCGACGGCCGCCTTGGCATTGCGCGCCAGCGGCTTTGTGGAGCCCCTCAATTATGGCTTAAGGGTCTCGGGGTTTAGGGTTTATAGGGGTTTGGGTTCCTAAACCCTAAACCCTAGCCTGGGGATGTGGGGATTCTGGGCTTAAGGGTTTCGGGGTTTGCTCAGGGCAGCTTATTATCATTTTTACTCTTGTGTTTTTGAGTTTTGTGTTAAGTTGCTTGTTTTGGCCGGGGTGGGGGGGGGGGGGTCCTGGGGGTGTTGGGCTGGGTTGCGTCTTGGTCTTGCAAGGCGATTGGTTTACAGCGGTTGTTGGGGGACGGGCCTATTCAGCTGCAGGAGTGGCCAGAGTAGAGTTGCGGGGTTCGGGATTTGGGATTTGGGGTTTGGGGTCTGGGGTTTGGGGTTTGGGGTTTGGGGCTTCAGGGTTTAGGATTTGGAGCGGAGGCCTGTAAAAAAAGGCTTGGCAAACGGTTGTAGGTTTCAGGGGGGAGGGTTTAGGGTTCGGGGGCTTAGGATTTAGGGTTTAGGGTTTAGGGTTTTAGGGTTTTAGGGTTTTAGGGTTTTAGGGTTTAGGGTTTAGGGTTTAGGGTTTAGGGTTTAGGGTTTAGGGTTTAGGGTTTAGGGTTTAGGGTTTAGGGTTTCTGGAAGGGGCTCTGCAAAATGGTTGTAGGCCTTTCGGGGTTTGTGAATCCAAACGGCCGTCACCCTCGCATAAGCCTGCCTATATGTCCTACGCTAAGACCGACCCTGAAACCAAGACGCTGAACCCTAAACCCTAAGCCCTGCCACACTACATGAACACCATCGGAAGCCTCGGAAGCTGAAAGCTTTAGGGCTAGACCCAAGAGTAGCCCAGGAATCAAACAAGGGTACCCTTTCATTTTAGGGGGGGGGGGGCTTGTAAGGGAAACCCTAAACTCTAAGAAAATGAATAAGGGCCTACTCTGATACGGGGCACACCCTACTTTGGGGAACCATGCCCCGAAGCTCCCAACAATGCCCATACGCCTGAAGGTCTCGCGGCCCGTGGCGTTTCCCTCCTCCCAGGACCCGAAGCTTGCATCCGTGTCTTTTTGTGTTTTTTTTTCCTCTCCCTCTCTCTCTCTCTCTCTCGATTACTTTCTATCTCTGTCATCATCAGGCCTATTGTAGGCCAACGCACACACGAGAACAAGAGCGCCCCCATCTTTCGTCTCTCAACGAAGGAACCCCAGAAGCCAAACAACTTAAAGGTTAAGTGGGCCATCCCAAGATCCTCAACATTGCCCCCGCACCCTCTATAGTCCCTAAGCCCTACACCCCCTGGAAGGATTTTGGGCTGACCGTGTTGAAACCCCAAGCTCTAAAGCTTCAAGCCGAATAAGCCCCAAGTAAAACCTGTTTCTAAAAAAACACTATGCTCCAAACACGCAAAGCAAAAGCCCTAAGTTCATAAGCCTTGTGTGAATCCTAAACCCCTAAACCCCTAAACCCGAAGACAACCCTACACCCCCAGACCCTAGACCCCAAACCTTAGACTCGGAATCATGGGCTTACGGGGCACTGGAGAAGTCCAGCAAAGCGAAGCTAACATCGACTCTCCGGCTCCCTGAGAGTTTAGGGTTTAGGGTTTAGGGTTTAGGGTTTAGGGTTTAGGGTTTCGGGTTTAGGGGTAAGGATTTAAGGCTTAGGGTTTACGAGTTTGAGGCTTAGGGTTTGCGGCGCAGGGTTTGCAACTCCCTTAAGACTCTCGCGCTCTCACCAGCGCTGGCGCTCGTAAAAAAAAGCCGTGAAAACCCTAAATCCGAAACATCCTAAACCCCATACCTGTACATCCTTAACCCTAAACCCGAAACCCTAAACCCTAAACCCCAAACCCCAAACCCCAAACCCCAAACCCCTAACCCCAAACCCCACCCGAAGGGGCCCACCGGCTGCCATGTCAGTCCTCCTCCGCGGCCTCCCGGTCCGCCTCGTTTAGGGTTTAGGGTTTAGGGTTTAGGGTTTGGGGTTTGGGGTTTGGGGTTTGGGGTTTGGGGTTTGGGGGTTAGGGTTTAGGGTTTGGGGTTTAGGGTTTGGGGTTTGGGGTTTAGGGTTTGGGGTTCGGTGTTTGGGGTGTAGGGTTTGGGCTTTAGGGTTTGGGGATTGGGGTTTGAGGTTTGGGGTTTAGGGTGTAGCGTTTAGGGTCTTGAGTGCAACTCTCCCGGATACTTGGAGGCTCCAAGATACATATCAGTGAGGGCTATGCCATTACCCTACTTCTAACCCTATTGAGAAGTACCAATGCGCAGCCAATGTACATGTCAAAGTTGTAATTGCGGACCGTGATGAATTTGAGAAAAACTAAACCGGTCAATGGGAACTTTCGGGCTTAGGCTATTCTTGCGGCGTAGTTGGGGTCGCAGGTCTAGTATGCAGTTCAGACTGACATCCTCCTACTCACCCTAAAACCTAGCCTATGCAGTACCAAGATCTACCCCCACACCCGACTGCTTCTCCAAACCATGCCAGAAGCCTTAGTGCCAATCCCATTCAAGCCTCGAACAGACGCAGGGCGTAGAAGTGCCCCCCCCCCCCCCTCCCCTCAAAAAAAAAAGAGGTTGCAACCGAGTTATACTTGCCCGGCTGAAAACCCGACTTATATGTCCTCAACCTCGAGCACCCGGG